AGTTTGTTACACCAACTAGTTGGTTTTGCAACGTTTTTTCTGAAAGAGCATTCATGTTCCAATTCTTTTTTCTTTATGTTTCTTCTATTTCCACTTATCTATTGCAATGTTGATTTGCTTTTTTTCCTGCTGATTTTAATGTTTTGATCTTTTAGGGTGCTGTAAATGTGGTTATGGGAAATGCTCCTGAAATTGGGGATGCTTTAGTTGCAAGTTCACAGGTTTCTCCCGTAACTTCTGCCTACCTCTTGTGATGTATTTCATTAATCAGTCTCACAGGGAAGTTAAAAGATCACAAGGATATATACCTAAATCCTTGTCTTAAAAATTTACTCAGGTAAGAAAGATCACATTCACCGGATCAACTGCAGTTGGGAAGAAGTTGATGGCAGGGGCTGCAGGGACTGTTAAGAAGGTATCTATGAGCCAAGAAGAAAACATCAATGAGTAAATTCCTATATTTTTGGAATTCATAACATTGACTTTTGCAGTTATCTCTTGAACTTGGTGGAAATGCACCCTGCATAGTCTTTGATGATGCAGATTTGGATGTGGCTGTAAAAGGAGCGGTAAGTTAGGTTTATCAACCATATAGTCTGATTTTTGGATATCTTATTCATTGTCAGTTAGCACTATTGTTTTGCTACCAACTAATTTGAATGTGAAACAATGTGATCGTGTCATTGATGCTATCTCAAGTATTGGAAGGTATCATCCCAATTTTTTTTTTCTTTTTCGTTTTCCAGCAATAGTTTTTGACTTTTTGGTTTAGGGGTCAAATGACAACGTCAAGATTTTTGAGTTATACATTTTGAAATCATACTTAGTAGCATGGTCATCTACTATTTTTTTTTTATTTAATTTTTGATCTTTTATAATTAAAAGTTTAAGAAGCATTATGTACACAAGGCACCACAGTGATGCCATCGTATACAGAAAGTTTTGGATGACTTCAAAGAGTTAAAAAAAAAAGAAGGGCGGAGAAAGTTTTAAATGTTTGTATCATGAATGGCGGGAATACAATGGTTCTTGGCATTCTATGCAGCTTGTATATGTGATGTATGAAGACCCTTGCAATTCCTTGAGCTGAAAAAGGATGAGCCAAGGTTTTTTTACGGTTTATCTTTTTAGATGGATTTATGGCTACTTGGGTGTGGGTTTTTGGGTGTTTGATTTGGGATTTTTTAACTCTGTTAAAAATTGATGTAGGACAACTTAAATTTAATTTGCCTCCTTAGGGTTTGATAAGAAAAAAAGTTTAGACATAACACCTCGAATTTTTTTCAAAATTATATCTAAGAAGTTTTAAGTATCACATTCAAGTATTTGATTGCATCATGTAACAAGAAATTAAGAAAAGACTCAAGATATTTTGTTGAATAACCGAATCCTCAACAGTAAATTATGGAGAAATTTATAATGATTGCTAACTAAGCTTTTCCATGTAGGATTAAATTGAGAAATACTTAATAAGAATAGAAAAACTAAATAAAAAAATACAAAATCCTAAAATTACTAAAACTATAATAATAAATTCCTAAAAGTACAATGATTTTATATTTAAAAAATTATAATTTCTAATGTAGTTAAAACTCTAGACTTTATGCCTTCCCTATCAATTATTCTTTCGATTATCAATGTAGAACTGCTGAAAGTTGTTGTGGTATTATTTGCTTATCAGTTAGCTTTTTTCTTTAGTGGATAAGAATATTCTAGTTGTGAATTGGTGCTTTTGGCAGATGGTTCCCTTCTAGATAAATTATTTAGGCCATAAAAATTGGGTTTTCATTCTTACTCCAAGTACACTGTTAACTTGAGGTAGCATTGGTAAACAAATGCAATTTGTGGTGCAGCTGGCAGCGAAGTTCCGCAATAGTGGGCAGACATGTGTTTGCGCCAACCGAGTGATTGTGCAAGATGGTATAGATGTCAATACTCGATTACAGAATTTGTAGATGTAATAGTTTGTTTGTTGGGGCTGTTTTGAAGTCCATTTTATCTTAAATGCATCCTTCCAACCTTTATGACACAAATTCAGTCAGTTTAATAAGAGATGGGCTTAGTACATCTTCTCGACCCTTATGTGAGTGAGATGTTATTACATAATGTTTTGGGGAAATTATTGTGCTTTTTCCTAAGAAAATTGTATATGAGATTTCTGTAATCTACTGATTCTCTCTAGTCCAATATTGTTTAGAATTCTAACACATTTTTGAGAACACAATTTCCTTTTGGGTTAACAATTTCGAAGAAAGATGCTTTTGAAATTGAGATATTTGTAGAGCCACAGTTTCTTAAGTGGGTCCAATTGTTTTTAAATGGAGTGTAATCCATAGATTTTGAATTTACTTTCTCCATTTAAATTTTTTTTACCTCCTTTTTTGAAATACTATTATTTTTTACCCTATTCAGTTGTAGAACTTAAAAATTGTCCTTTCATACAGGTTGTTTATTCTTTCTATTGATTTTTTAGAACTAAGTAGCAATCTTTCCTAGATTTTCAAATTTGAGAAGAAAACAAAGCCTTGTTTAGTCAAAGAAAACTGGTTTGGAATTTTTTCCTTTTTGAATTTATACATGTTTATACACAGAACTATGTGCAGTTATTAAAAATAAAAATAATGTTAGAAAAACGACTGTAAATATGAAATGAGTTTGAAAAACTGTAGTGTTTATCATTGTGATAAACTTGTATGAATTCAGAAAATGAAAACTCGAAACGATTTTCTACATCTGAACAAAGCATGAATTTTCCACACGAAATTTCCGAATTTCAGACGGGCACATTTTCCAGAATTCTAGATGTTTAAACAAGTGATCAAGTGAATGGATTGAATTTGAACAACTTTGTATTTTTATTGTTTTGTATATAGAGATGTATGTATTTAAAAGGTGAAAACTGAAAATGATTCTCTACAACTAACTGAACCTGAGATTTCCAAAATTTAGAAGTGGATTTTCCAGAATTTGAGATGTTCTAGAATATATTTTATGAAATCTATCCAGAAGAACACAGCGTAAGAAAATTCACATGCTTGTAGGTCCTTGATTAATCTATGAATTCATCTTTGCCTGAAAAACAAGTTATTGCATTCTTTATTGTTCCTTGAAGTGTACATTCTCCTCTAATCCTGTAATTTGCCTGGCTTTCTTCCTCAGGTATCTATGACAAATTTGCAGATGCTTTTTCAAAAGCAGTAGAGAAACTGCAAGTAGGGATGGCTTTACTGAA